TGGGATCCGAACCCTCGGCGGGAGCGCCACCACACTCTCAAGCGGCACACTGTAGCAGTGCGCCACTGGGCCAGCCCAGAATTTTTTTTTTCAAAATAAAGGTTTAAGAAAATGAGGAGGCTCTTTGTGTAGTGACATGAAACAATCTCCATGATGCGGCAAGTGAAGAAGGCAAGGGCCAGAACAGCATGTCCAGTAGGCGACTGTCTGTAGAGAAAAAGAAAAAAATTGGGAAGACCTCTGCGCACTGCTACTGTGCATGTGTGCTCTCTGAAAGGTCACACTCCAGCAAGGAGAACACAGCAGAGAAATCACACCAACATTGGGTACAAAACCTGCTACGATGTGTGCTGTTCTTTGTTTTTTCCATGTGGGGTCCCTGTGGGCAGCCTCCTGGGCACCCACTTTCCCCGAGGCCTGAGCGGTCACCCTGAGAACTTACAGGTGACAGGGGGCTGAGTCGATCACCTTCAAGGGCTGGGCAGTGATGTGAATGCCCAGGGAAGTGGCTCACATAAGAAACACGCAGACATTCTTTACCTCCTCAGAGAAATAGGGTCTTGCCCATGTGTGGGAGCAGCTGCTGCAGAGTCAACAGCGACCCCCCAAATTCACATCCAGGCTGCCGGTGGGCTCACTTGGTTAGAGCATGTGTTGTAACGCCAAGGCCAAGGGTTCAGATCCCCGGACCGGCCAGCAGCCAACAAACAAAGAACAAACAAATTTACATCCCCCCAGATCCTCGGAATGTGGCCTTACTTGGAAATAGGGTCTTTGCAGATGTAATTTGTTAAGATGCAGTCACGTGGGATTGGGGTGGCCTAAATCAATGACAGAGGATGGAGGCAGGGTGGGAGGGACCTGGGGCAGATCCTCACTCTGAGCCTCCAGGGGGAGCCCACCCTGCCCACACCTTTGGGACTTTTGGCCTCCAGAGCTGTGGGAGGGTAAATTCCTGTTGTTTTTAGTTCCTGGCACGTGGCCTTTGTTCTGGCAGCCCTGGGAGACTCACATGCACCTGCCCACAGATTCTGTCTCCTTCTCTTGCCCTAGATGGAGATTTGGATGCAGACAAATGCCTCATGCAAACACAATGACAAAGGACCGAGGCTTTCCTCAGGGCTGGGGGCACGGGGTGGAGAGGTGGCCAAGCTGCCTTGACCTCTGCACGTCCACCCTGTGCCTCCGTCCCCTGCCTCCTGCTGGTGCCTGGTGGCTCCAGCTAAGACACCCTCTCTGATGTTCATGGCTGCTCCTGCTCCTAGACCTCTGTGGGCATTCTCCATGGTCTGCCACACTGTCCCCAGGTCTTTGCTCAAATGGCGTCTCCCTAAAGAGGCTTTTAGGGCCTCAGGACTCTCTCCTGATCACCATTACTTCTCACCACGCTGAGCGCTGTCCCAAATAGACTTTCTTATGATGTGTGGGCGCCAGCAGGACAAGGGCAGGGATTTTCGTCTACTTTGCTCAATGTGAACTGTGGTGCCTACCACAGGATGGGGCATACAGTAGGTGCTCAATATGTACCCATCGAGCACAGGAATGAATGCGCTGCTCTGTGCTCTGGCAGATGCAAAGTCTGCAGGCTGTGGCCTCCATTGGTGTGATCGATGGAGTGCCAGGCGAGGCCCACCCACCTCTGAAGAAGACAATCTTGTGGTCGCTGGTGCGCTCGTACACGGCGTCCACACTGTCCAGGTGCAGTGGCAGGCCCCGCCAGAAGCGGTGCATTTGTGCTGGCTGCAGGGACACCAGGTGCCGGTCCCGTGTCAGCCTCCAGAAATACTTGCCTGGGGAACAGAGGGGAGAGTGGGACTGCAGGTGGTGGATCTGGGCCTGGAGTGGGCCAGGCCTTCCATCCACAGCTGCCGGAGCCCTGGGGGTTACCTTTGAAGAAGAAGGCTTCCCCGCGGATCTGGGCCACTGCATCAAAGTGAGTGTTGCACCGGTGAGGCACGTCCTTCCTGGGCCTGCAGAGCAGAGAGCAGGTGGGCTGGGAGGCAAGGTTCCCACCTGAGCAACTATGGGCAGCTGGGCTTTGCAAACCATGGGGCAGGCAACCATGGAGGGAGCCCCACACTGCTGCCCGTGGGTGCTGTGATGCATAACAGTTGCATCGGAAGAGGAAGGCAAATTAAATGAGAGCTCCTTTCCTCTACTTCGCAGGATGGCAAAGGGCCAGCTTCTGAGCAGGCAGTGTTGGGAGCGTTTGGGCAATGGGCACTCACGCACACTGCGGGCAGGAGTGGAGACTGGCAAGACCCCCAAGAAGTTGATTGGGCATGGTCCACCAAAACACTGAATACACATGCTGCCCCCAGTTCCAGAACTCTGTCCCACAGACAGCGTATTCGTGGCAATGTTATTTGCAATGGCAAAGGCTGGGGACAACTTAAATGTCCACCGTAAGGCACGTTCATGCCAGCGTGGGCACCAGCTCTCCAGGAGAACCAGGCATGTCTGCACGCACAGACACAGGGGGTCTCTCGGGGGCATTAAGTGTAAAAGCAGAGGGCAGGGCGGCAGGTAATATGTGCACCACTGTGCTCAAACACACCCATCTGCGTGTTTGCATTCTCCGACACATGAGAATACCTTTGGAAGGGCACGTGCACACACACGTGTGCTCCCATGGAAGGGATTAAGTGGAGGGTCAGTAGGGAGAAAAACAAACTTTTCATGGCAGGTGCCGTCAGTGCCTTTTTTTTTCTCTTTTTTTAAAAAAAAAGATGACCGGTAAGGGGATCTCAACCCTTGGCTTGGTGTTGTCAGCACCACGCTCAGCCAGTGAGCAAACCGGCCATCCCTATATAGGATCCGAACCCGGGGCCTTGGTGTTATTAGCACCGCACTCTACCGAGTGAGCCACGGGCCGGCCCTGGAGCAGCATCTTTTGACCACAGTGGAAATTCAAGATGTCTGACTGAGTGAGAAAAGTGTAAAACCACTCTACTATCGGAAAACCAAAACCAAACAAAAGTACAGGAGCTGAACCACACGTAAGCGCAGAAAGGTGGCAAGGCAGTTGAAGCGGTAGTGGGTGTGGGCGTCAGGGAAGAGAGTGGCCTGGGACAGCCTCTGCAAGTTCTTGGGTGCTCACTCCACTGAGAGGAGGGGTCTGCACCTGCCCCTTGAGCATGAGCAGGCTCTGACAGCTTTGACTGATAGGGCTAGGCTGAAGTGACAGTGTGACCTTGAGGTGGCTTGTGCTGGGTCTCTGGCAATCCAGCTCTTAGGACAGTCCTCATCAGAAACCAGCAGCCTCTGGGCTGGCCTGTGGCTCACTCGGGAGAGTGCGGTGCTGATAACACCAAGGCCACGGGTTCAGATCCCATATAGGGATGGCTGGTTAGCTCAATGGGTGAGCATGGTGCTGACAACACCAAGTCAAGGGTTAAGATCACCTTACCGGTCATCTTTTTAAAAAAAAATAAAATAAAAAAAGAAGCCAGCAGCCTCGTGGACAGGCCAGAGGTGTCTGTGCAGCTGAATGTCCACTCCCGGAGCTAGCCCTGCCCAGGCACAGACATGATCCCCCCAAAGAATGTTCTGGTATCATGGAGCAGAGACCGGCCATCCGCAGGGCGCATAGAATCCAGGAGCTTAACGGAACAGTGGTTTGATGGTGCTGGTTGGGTGGCTTGTTATGCAGCAGCAGGTGACAGGGACAGAAGTCAAGAGGAAATCACATTTGAAATTCAACATCTCTGCATGGGATCCCAGGAGGGGTGAGCAGTTGTCCCCTCCACTGTCTAGAGTAGTTTAAGAAAAGAAAGCAATGTCCTTTGGGGCTCAGCCAGTGCACCAAGCTGTGCTATTCCCAGGATCAAGCCTGTGTTTGGGACAGGGCAGATATCACCTAGGATGGGGCAGCCGGATGAGGACAGACAGACCAGTGTGTGGCGACCATGGGCCCATGGCTTACAGGGTGCTGGACCGATTGTCAGGAGGCCCCGGCAGGAAGGGGTGCTCCTCAGGCTCTGAAGTGTCCGGTTGCGCTGTGGGGGACACAGACTCCCGCACACCTACGGGAGACATGGAGGATGGCACTGAACGCCGGGACACCTGCCTCCCTTCCCACGGTCCTTCTCGGAATCCCAGGACAGAGCTGAGGCCATTCAGCTGACAGGCTGATCCCGCCCCACAGAGCTGATGTCCAGGCGGGAGCCAGACCACCCAGCACGTCCGGAGAATACGCAGGATGCCTGGAGGTACACAGGATGCCCAGAGGCATTAGGCACAGTGTTTAGTGCCTCGCAACGCCACCCCCGGGTATCTGCTCAGAAGAACAGAAAGCAGGTGTTCCAACAAAAACATGCACCCCCGGGTTCACAGCACCCTGCACAACAGCCAAGCTGGAAACAACCCGAGTGCTCAGTGCTCATCATTGGATGAACAGACAAAGTCACTCAGCCACGAAGAGGAATGGAATCCCAACCCACGCTCTGACACGGACCAACCCTGAAAACATCACGCTCAGTGAGAAAGCCACACACGAAAGGCCACATCATGTGTGATTCTATTTCTTTGAAACATCCAGAATAGCGAACCCTGAGGGACAGAAGGTGGATTAGGGTGGCCGGGGGCTGGGCAGAGGGATGGGGAGAGATGTTAATGGGGACAGGGTCTCTGGTGGTGGCAGTGGGGGTGAAAAGTTCTGGAACCAGACAGAAGTGGTGTTTGCACACCATGTGAATGTGCCAAATGCACAGAAGCACACACTTTAAAATGGCAAATGTTATAAGATAAATAAATAAAATAAAATAAAATGGTGACTGTTACGGGGTGTGGATTTTGCTGCAATAAAAATAACGCACAGGTGTCAGAGGCGAGGGTCCTCGTGGGTGGGGGCAGGAGTGCCGGGACCAGGGTGCAGGAGGTGTGGACGTATGCCGCCTCCCCTGGGATCCAAGTCTTGGCTCTGTGGCTATGACTGGGTTATCAGGGCAACCTACATACCTCTCAGAGCCTCAGTTTCCTCATCGGTAAAGTGAGGACAGCAGTTCCTACCTCACAGGGCTGTTAACATTAGGGGACGCAATGCATGTGAAGTGTTCTGCGCAGGCTGGGGCACCATCAGCACCAACTGTCATAACTCCCAGAGAGAGCATCTGGGGTAGATGTGGAATTGCGGGGGCCTCTGAGGATCCCAGGGATGAGCCTCGACCTCACTCACTCCATCCACATCCAGAGAGCCCTGGGTGTGTGCCAGGCGCTGTTCTGTGCTGAGGACAAGCAGTGAGAAGAGCAGACAATGCTCCACCCCGGGTTCCTGCCCCCTCTTGCAGGTGACGCACTCACCGTACAGCTGCCAGATGCGCACCCTGTCCTCGTAGGGGAGCCCATAGCGCAGCGGGTCGCCCACTGGGCCCTGGTAATATGGCCTCATGATGGAGTGCGTGTCAGCCACATGGCTCAGCCCGACAGCGTGGCCAAACTCGTGCACGGCCACTGCGAACAGGTCCATCCCGAGGGCATCTGAAGACATGGGAGACACATGAGCCGAGGAAGGAGGGGAGCATCTTCACGGGGTAGGGACTGGCAGTCCCCCCTGAGCAGTGGGGCCGGGATGCACACAGCTGGAAGCCCATGGGGGGATCCTGTGTCCCGGTCAGGTGGACTCTGCAGGGTCCCTCAGGACTCACTAGATTCCTACAGAGGTCTATGGGGTCTTTGGGAGCTTTTCAGGCCCTGAGGGTCACTTACAGTGGGGGCTGACCAACTTCTCTGTACAAGGCCATGTGATATAGCATCCTACAGTGTCAATTGGACCCCCAGGCCCTGATGCCCGGGTCCCGTAGGATGGGTCTGGGCTCCCATCATCACGGAGAGCCCACAAGTCCTCTGGGCTGTGACCCCTGCCTCTCAAGGCTAGCCAAGGGCCACAGTCCTGGGTCAGTTCACAGTCTCTTTAGAGCCGGTGTGTGGACTAAGTCTACAATACCCCATCTCCCTTCCCACATCCATGGCCTGTGCCTGGTGACTCTGTTTCCCCCACCAAGGGGAGGAGTCTATTCCCAACCCTTCAACCTGGGGCCCTGTCTGCCTTGGAGGACAGGACTTAGCAGGATGATTCTCAGCCTGGGCTGCAGAGGCCCTGCAGACTTCCTCTGTTCCCTCTCCTGGACTCTGAGCTGTGATGAGGACAAGCCTGGCTCAGCCAGCGGGAGCCCCTGCCCACGGGTGGGAGCGAGCCCAGCTGAGGCTGGCCAGGCTGACCACAGATGCACAGGTGAGATCAGCCTCAACGGGAACTGGTCAGCTGTGCCCAGGCTGGATTCATGTGCCAAACAGTTGTGCACTGTTTGAAGCCAGAGGGGTTGGGATTGTCATGCAGAGTCATGACTTTCTTGATCTTACGGGGTGGGTGTGGTTCCTTCTCACATCCTGGGGTCTGCATGGTCCACAGGGGCTGCCCAGGCCTATGGGGTCCCACAGACTCAGTGTCCACCCCTGGACATACCTGAGGAGCGAAAGGTCCAAGCCTCGTCGTCATCAAAGTGGGTGTCCCCTGCAGTGTGGTGGTCGCCAGGGAAGAAGGCGTGGGCCACAGTGCCACCGGGGCCGTCGAAGGGGTAGCGGTCATTGTGGTCCGCCTTGGAGAAGTCGATCTGGATGTCGGCGGCACTGCCCGCCACCTCATGGAAGTTCAGCGGCGTGATGTCGCTCCAGACCTTGAGGGCGTAGTACATGAGTGCCCGCACTGTGTCGCGGCCCAGGGGCGAGTCCCGCGGGAAAGTCCGGACCCTACAGGGCAGGGGTCAGAGCGAGAGTCCAGGTCACAGAGGACAGGCCAAGTGCCCCCCCAACCCTCAGGCTGAGTGTCTTCCCTGGAACATTCCTCCCCGGGGTTGGTCACTACCCCTCCCAGGGTGCACCCCACCAGCTTCTGCCTTTTTCCCCTCCCATGTCTGATGCCCCCACGAAGATCCCAGGTGTTCTCCTGGATGCCCAAGGAGATGGAAGGAGGTGAGAGTACAGGTGGTCTGAGACCCCCGGACACATCAGCCCCAGGCCCCTTGGCAGGCTGAGTCCTGCTCACCTGCACTACCTGCTCCCAGTAGAAGGGCCTCCCTGGTCACCAGTTCACACACTGGCCAGGGCCCCTCTGAGCCTGTTCTGACCCCAGGGAACAGCAGGAGGGAACCAGCCCAGGTGTGGCTGGCCGAATAGTGTCCTACCAAATTTATGTCCTTCTGGAGCCTTAGAATGTGACCTGATTTGGAAGTAGGGTCTTTGCAGGTTCAAGTAAGGTAAGGATGGAGATGAGGGTGGACCCTAAATCCAATGAGCATCTGTATAGGAGCCAAGAGGGAGCACAAGACACAGAGAGGAGAGGCCGTGGGAAGACAGAGGTGGGAACGGAGAGACACAGCTGAGGGCTGCTGTCACAGAGCTGGAGAGGGGCCTGCATGGGCTCGCCCTTGGAGCCTCCACAGGGAACCCACCCTGCCCACACCTTGATTTTGGACTTCTGGCCTCTAGAATGCAGAGCATAAATTCCTGTGGTCTTTTTTTGTTTGTTAGTATGATTTTTGGCAGCTGGCTGGTGTGGGGATCTGAACCCGTGACCTTTGTGTTACAAGGCTGTGCTCTAACCAATAGACCTAGTTGGCCAGCCTTCCAGTGGTCTTAAGACTCTGCTTTGTGGGCATTTGCTTTGCAGCCACAGGACAACGGAGGCACAGGCAATGCCAGGCCCATGCGGGCGCTCCTCAGCCTCCACCCACCTCCACGACAGGTTCCTCTTATTCCACTTGGTTGGGGCCAGAGCCTGGCGCCTCCTTCGAGCCTGGACCATGGTGGGGAGGTCCGGGAGGGAGCAGCGTGGGGTCTTCATCAGTGCCAGGGTGGCCTCATCTGCAGGGGCATGGGGGTGGAGGTCAGACCTGGGCCGGTTCTCACCCACCCCGACTTGGGATTCCGAGCATCTCCCTAAGTCAGAATCTCCAACTCTGGCCACTGGCACCAAACTCAGGTCCTGCCCCGCCCCCCGCTCCCCAAGCAAAGTCTGCTGGGGGGTAAGGCCCAGGCTTCGAGCTATGCCAAGCCCCACTGCTGAAGTGGTTATGTTCGTGGACCAGGATAGAAGTGACATTTATACTTATGACATGGCCCTGACCAATCAATCAGAACAGTCAGTGACAGGCCCCAGCCAATCAGAATGGTCAGCGGCAGGGCCCCGACCAATCAGAAGGGGCTTGGTTGAGTTGGTGCAGCCTGGACAGGGACCACAGTGTCTCCTGCTGTCCTGTGCAGAACTGACCCAGGACGCCAGTGGCCTCCAGGCCGCCAAACTGCTGCATGGCTGCGATGGCCTTGGACAGCTCCTCTTGGGTCTGCAGCTGCCCTGTCGCAGGGTCTGCCGGGGGCAGGTAGCCGAACCTGCTTAGCCACTCCTGGGGGCAGAGAGCAGAGTGAGGGGTGGCAGTAGAGGGCTCAGCCCCACCCAGAGGAGCCTGCCCCAGGCCCACTGCTGTTGCAGGAGACAGGTTTCTCCCAACCTGACCAACACCACCCCAGCCCCAGCCCTGCATTAGTTCACAAGGGACCTCTTGCATCTTCCTTAAGTCACTTTACAGGAAGCTGCTGGAGAAGTATCTAATAAACTTGATGCCCCTTAGACGGGGTGAGCTCGTGCAGTGCACAACCTGTACAACTGCTCATGGTAGCCCTGCCCCATCTCACTCCTCCTCAGGCAGCAAAATCCCCAGGGGGCACTCTTGAGAAGGTGAAATTTAAAAGGTTATTAAACATAGCCAATGCCAAATGCAGGCCCTAAGCCGGCCTGTAGGGGGCAGTCTAGGACTGAGGTCTGAAACCCTAGCTGAGGGGAAATGGGCTCAAACTCCTCCAGTTTTAGGAATCAAGCCATGAGCTAAACGTCCATGAAGGAACGGCATCGTAAGGCAGTTAAAAGCCCAGGCTCGAGCCAGGCCACCCAGGTTCGAATCCTACTTGACTACTTCCTTGCTGTGAGACCCAGGGCAGGTTAGTCAATCCCTCTGGGCTGTTCCTTCAGTTGTTGAGCCAATAAGAGTCCTTACTTTGCAGGGTGGTTGTAAGGATTTATCAGTCAAGACGAGGGAAAAGCTCACACCAGCACCTGACACAGGTGCTCTATAAGGTGTATGTGGCATTGTCAGGACTGCTCTGCTGAAAAGGGCCACAGTGGGGATGGGTGGGAGGGCCCCCCCATGCAAAACAGGAAGCAGGAGTGGAGGGCAACCTTTTACCAGGGACACAAATTAAGCCTCCTCTCCAAGCCCCAGTCGCCTCTGCCACCCCTACAGGGGCCCTAGGACAGGGAGGCCCCAATGCTATCATTGGGGGAGGCCTGGGACAGGGAGGCCCTGATGCCATCATTGGGGGGTGTAGTGGATTGAATTATGTCCCCCCAAAACTCCCGGAAGCTTGAATTGTGTCCCGCAAATTTTATGTACTAGAAACTTGGTCCCACTGTGACTGTTAGAAGGGTGGGAAATCCTATTATGGTAATTGTAAGGTGTGGCCTTGAAGAGATGGTTAGATTGTAGAACCATGCAGCAGAGAATGGATTAATAATGGTGGTCGGGGGCATGGTTTGGAGGGCTTTAAAAGGTGAGCATGAAGAGTCTGTCTCTCTGCTCTCTCTGCTTCCACCATCTTGCAATGTGGAGATGGCCAGTGCGCTCACTGGCTGAGCGTGGTGCGGGCGACACCAAGCCAGGGGTTGTGATCCCCTTACCGGTCACAAAAAAAGAAAGGACAAAAAAAAAAAAAAAAAAATTTTGTTTTCTTTATAAAATACCCAGTTCTTGGGCTGGCCCTGTGGCTCTCTCGGGAGAGTGTGGCGCTGGTAGCTCTGAGGGTTTGGATCCTATATAGGGATGGCCGGTGCACTCACTGGCTGAGCGTGGTGCAGACCACACCGTGCCGAGGGTTGCGATCCCCTTACTGGTCAAGAAAAATACCCAGTTCCATGTAGTTTGTTATAAGCAACAGAAACAGACTAAGACAGTGGTCTGTGAACAGGGAGGCCCTGATACCATCCATGGGGGCTGCTCCACTCCCAGCTACAGTTTCTTCAACTGCCAAGCAGCACTCACACCCACCACAGACTGCTGTGACAATCCACGAAAACCACTCTGCCCTGTGGACAGAGCACCAGGGGTGGGCTCCCTGATGGCTAGCTGGGGGACCCACAGGTGGGTGTAAGGACAGTTCCAGGGACTCTGAGGCCCACCCCATCCTGGATCTGGCTTCAGGAAAGGCACAACTGGGGGTGACAAGCAGGGGTCCAGCTTGCAGCCCTATTTTTTTTTTTTTTGATGGGCATTTAAAGAATTCTCTTGATTAACCTATGTCACCTGCTGGGTCCCCAAAACTTCTGAGCTTGCAGCCCCCACCTGAGCTTTTCTATGGGCTGGTGGTGTCCTATAGACCCTCCTCACCCACATAGGGCTCCACCATCCTGGAATTCCCAGGGGCCTCAATCAGTACACGCTCCACTGACCAGGAGGGGCAGCCTCAATGATCTGCATATAATTTACATAAACCTGCAGAGACCCAGCTAGACCATCCTTTCCAGGTAACACTGCATCCTTCCTGGGGTCCTCCCTCTGTTGCTTTACCCATTCTGCAAACCTACTGACCCAGACCTTCCCCTCTTAGCCCTGATGGGAGATCCCCAAGAGTGCCTGTGCAGAACTGGGGTGTCCCGGAAATCCCCTAGGGTCTGGGGCCCCCTCTAAGGCTGTAGGGCAGGACAGGAACCCTCCAAGTGCACACTAATGATTTGAGGGGGAAGTTTCTCCCAAGGGGGCCTTGGGAGTGACAACCTAAGCTCACACAAGATGGGATGGTGACTGTGTGCCCTGGGCATTGGCCCAGACAGGCCACCTCCCCACTTTAAGCTCTGCCCTCTGTGGTGTTAGGATCTTTACAAGCCCTGGATGTTCTTTCCAGAGAACACCCCCACCTCCATGTTGTTCACATCACTTCAAACACATTAAAATGCACGCACATCAGTCAACAAGATTTACTAAGCATATCCCACAGCTGTTCTGGGCATTGGAGAAACCCAAGACAGCATTCTGCATTAAATACGTGCATTTCTGGCTACATACGTTTTTCTTAAAAAAGTTTTACAGACATTTTGGGCCGGCCCCGTGGCTCACTCAGGAAGAGTGCGGCGCTGGAAGTGCTGACGCTGCAGGTTTGGATCCTATATAGGGATAGCCAGTGCGCTCACTGGCTGAGCGTAGTGCAGACCACACCATGCCGAGGGTTGCGATCCCCTTACCGGTCAAAAAAAAAGTTTTACAAACATTTTAAAGTTTTGAATCTGCAGTTTTCTTATCAAATGTCCAAACACACACACACACACACATTTTGTAGTTCTTTTTTTTTTTTAAAGATGACTGGTAAGGGGATCTTAACCCTTGGCTTGGTGTTGTCAGCACCACGCTAAGCCAGTGAGCAAACCGGTCATTCCTATATAGGATCCGAACCCAAGGCCTTGGTGTTATCAGCACCACACTCTCCCGAGTGAGCCACGGGCCGGCCCTCACTTCTGTAGTTCTTTGTTAAGATCACAGGCTCAAGCTACATGGTCATGGTGTCTCACAGTTACATGCCCCCTCCTGCAGGAAGCCCTCCAGAGCTTCCTCAGACCATATACAAGGGGACTTCAAGAAGTTTGTGGAGGGCCGGCCTGTGGCTCACTCGGTAGAGTGCGGTGCTAATAACACCAAGGCCCCGGGTTCGGATCCCACATAGGGATGGCCGGTTCGCTCACTGGCTGAGCATGGTGCTGACAACACCAGTCAAGGGTTAAGATCCCCTTACCGGTCATCTTTTTAAAAAAAAAAAAAAAAAAAAGAAGTTTGTGTAAAAAACAGAAAAGATACAAATAAAAAATATAAACTTTATTTTTCAACATAAGCTACATCAAGTTCAAGACACTTTTGTAAGTGATGATGAAGACACCAGCCATTTAGTCCATCCCTAAAGAACTGAAGGTCCTTAAATTTAACCATGTCAATGTAGTCTTTTTTTTTTTTTTCATGACCGGTAACGGGATCGCAACCCTCGGTGTCATGCCCACACCGCGCCCAACCAGTGAGCTGACCGGTCTCTATATGGGATCCGAACCCTCGGCGGGAGCACCGCACTCTACCGAGTGCGCCACCGGGCCAGCCCTCAATGTAGTCTTTTTTGCATTATTAGCTGAAGGAAAATGGGTGCCCTTTAAATATTTTTCAAGATTAGCATATCAGCCAGCCACCAACCCCCGCTATAAAAAAAGATTTTTAAAGATTGGGATGGGAAACAAAAAGAAGTCAGAAGGAGCTGTAATGTGGATGCCTAATTAAGTCCCATAGAAACTCTCCCCAAATTGTCCCTGTTTGATGAGAAGGATGAGCCGGAGCATCGTTACAGTGGTGGACTCTAGTGGAACTTGCCTGGGCACTTTTCTTCTAAAGCTCTGGCTAATTTTTTCAAAACAGTCATAATAACTAGATGTTATCATTCTTTGGCCCTCCAGAAAGTCAACAAGCAAAATGTGTTGAGCATCCCAAAAAACTGTTGCCATGACCTTTGCTCTTGACTGGTTCCCTTCTGCTTTGGCTGGACCACTGCCACCTCTCGTTAGCTATGGCTTTGATTGTGCTTTGTCTTCAGGATGGTAAAGCCATGTTTCATCTCCTGTTACAATTCTTTGAAGAAATGCTTCAGGATCTCGATCCCACTTGTTTAAAATTTCCATGGAGAGCCCTGCTCTTGTCTGCAGCTGATTTGGGCACAACAGTTTTGGCACCCACCGAGTGAAAAGTTTGCTTAATTTTAATTTTTCAGTCAGAATTGTGTAAGCTGAACCTATTGAGATATCTACGGTGTTGGCTATTGTTTCTGTTGATAAGCATTGGTTCTCTTCAATTAGAGCACGGACAAGATTAATTTTTTCCTCGCAAATTGCTGTGGATGGTCTACCGCTGTGGGCTTCATCTCCAACATCTTCTCGTCCCTTCTTAAAACGAGTTACCCATTTGTAAACTGCTGATTTCTTTGGGGCACTGTCCCCATAAACTTTTTGTAAAGCTTCCATGATTTCACTGTTCTTCCACCCAAGCTTCACCATAAATTTGATGTTTGTTCTTGCTTCAATTTTAGGAGATTTCATGTTGCTCTGATAGGGGCTCTTTTCAAGCTGATGTCTTATCCTTCTTAGAGCCTCAAACTAGATCCTGTTTAGACATGTTATAACAAGTTAGTATGAGTTTATTTTGGTGCAAAAAAATTTGCAATCCGTTCATAGTTTTCTCATAATATGCATTTCCCATGAACTTTTTGAAGACCTCTCGTAGGATGCCAGATGAGGATGGACACCTTCTCCCTTACCAGGGAAGGGTCCATACAGGCCTTCCTCCACCCAGGCCAACTGCTTCATGGGTTGGCCAACTGGGGGATGAGACAGCCTGGGAGGATCACCCACCTTCCCAGCATTCCCTGCCAGTAAGCTGGGGTAATAGCTAGGTGGCAGTGCTGAGCAGGTAAACACCCGCTCTGGGCAGGGAACATTTCTGGGCTTTACCGGCCTCTAGCTGAGCCTGGGGGCCCAGCAGATAGCACTACAGGTGGTTTTAAAATGCTTTCCAAGGTTAAAGGCAGGTGGTATTTCTAGCTGCAGGTCTGAGTGTCTCCTGTTTCAACCTGCAGGACAAGGGCCAGAGCTGAGCTGCAGGTGCTGCCCTGGGACAGGCAACCCCCCTTCCTTCCCAGTCCCCAGCACTGGGCCCAAAGGTCACGGCCTCTGTCACCTGCTTGGCCCCTGGGAATGCTGGAGGTTGCAGCCTCCTGACTGCAACTGGGGACTGCACCATCAATCTCAGACCCCTCCCCATGATTCCAAGGCCCCTGCAGGCAAAGGCTCCCCTGGGAGAGGCCTTCTGTGGTAGGCTTCTGTGCCAATTCATGGACACAGCTGGACTGAAAGACCCTAAGCTGTCTGACACCAGGACAAATCCCTGGCAGGTTTAGGGGTGCTGGCAGCCGCAGGCTCTCAAGTGGACATATGAGCAGAGGTGGTCCCCTACCTCTGCAGGGCCTTCTGAATCCATAGGGCATCCCCCAGCCCAGACCTGCATCCTTCTGTTCTACCCTCTTCAGGAGAGGCAGAAGTGTCCAGAAGCCCCTGACCCTCCTGGGAAGGGCTGGCGTGTGTCCCAGTCCCTGGGAGAGAGGCAAATTCCCAATCCATGGGGGTCTATATTGTTGTGTTCTGGCCTGGTAGTTAAT